TTGGTCCAATGTATATGCCACCTAGTGACCAGTTTGAGACTTGGGTTGTGGTCAATCTCCAGTTCTCAGAGTCTGTGGTTTGCTGTTTAGTGTCAGATCCATATGTGTGCTGCTCCCTCTGTGTGCTCTCTTCAGTACTTCACAGTTCATTGGAACAACCTTTTCCAGTGTCTGGGGCCAAGTAGCAGGAGAACAGAGAGAAAAAGCATCAAAGGCTCACTGTACCTCTTCAGACTACTGCTCCTAGGATTGGAGAGGAAGGTTCCTGTCATTCAGTTTTAGTTTTCTGCTCTGTTCCTATTGCTACTGCTGCCACTACAAGTTTGCTTTGGGCTGGCACACACGAAAACAGTAAAAAGAAAAAGAAAACTGGGTGTTTCCATATACTTTCTTGAATGTTTGGAGACCGCTTTCTCACTTTTCAAGCCAGAACTAGACTAGGGCTTTTCGTGCAGCTCTCTCTGTCCACATCAATAAATGCTTCCAGATTTCAGGCTGCATTGTGTCCCTACCAGGGGATACTAGAGGTAAAGAAATATGCTAAGTTCATCTTGATTCAGTGATACTTTGAATTCCAGTCTTCTTCCCCAATCTTCCTGCTACTGTTTACTTTTCAGAGTCCTAAATAGTTACCCCTGGTTTTTATAACTACCTTTAGTGGGCACAAAATGGAGTATGCTGTCCATTTTACCCAGGACATAAATCCCTCCATAGATTTCTTTAAATGAATAAAGAATGAAAGCAGTGTTTGGTTGTGGAGGCATAAGTTTTTCAAACAAAATTTTGTTATATCCATTACTTCACATTTAACTTTATAGCACAATCATAAAGAGGGTTGCTTTAAAAAAAAAGATTTTTTTTTATTAAAAAAAAAATCAACCCTTGAGCTTTATTTTCCCAGAGGGCATACATTCTTTTGATATTCAAATCACTGTCCCTTCAAGTACCTTTCCTGCCCTCAGCTTTCATAATTCTCTTTTCTACCCTTCCACCATTATTGAACACTAAGTGCACCAGATCTTCATTGTTGGTGACTTCTAGCATGATGTGAGCAATACGCCATTATTTTCCTTGACCTTAGGAAATTCAGACTTTTATGACAAGATTTGCTTATTCACTTTGTTGCTTTGCATTGTACTTTCAGCTGTCTGCATCAGACAATTAAGAAGAGACAAACCCACAAAGAAAGAAATTGACATGTTTGGTAGAGAAAAATGCCAGTGTTAAGTAGAAGATATAGTTTAGACGGAGAATAAATTTTCCTTCCAAATTTAAAAAACTTTTTAAAAGATTTGATTTATTTTTAGAAAGAGGGCAATGGTAGGTGAAAGAGAGGAAGAGAAGCATCAATGTGTGGTTGCCTCTCATATGCCCCCTACTGGGGACCTGGCACACAATGCAAGCATGTGCCCTGACTGGGAATCATATCGGTGACCCTTTGGTTCTGAAGGTGGCACTCAATCCACTGAGCCACGCCAGCCAGGGCCAAATTTTTTTATTGTGGTGAAATACACATAACATCAAATTTACCATTGTGACCATTTTTGTGTACAGTTCAGTGGTATTAAATACATTCATAATGTTGTACAACCACCACCATCATCTATCTCCATAACTCTTTTCCTTTTGTAAAACTGAAACTCTATGCCTATTAAATAAGTCCCAATTTTTCCCTCCCCCACAGCCCCTGGCAACCACCATTCACCTCTTTGTCTCTGTGATTTTAACTCCTTTACATACCTCCTATAAATGGAATCATACAGTATTTGTGTTTTTTGTAACTGGCTATTTCACCTAACATGATGTCCTCAAGGTTCATCTCTGTTGTAGCATATGTCAGAATATCCTTCCTTTTTAAGGCTGAATTATATTCTATTGTATGCTGATGGAGGAAAAATTTATATGTGCTCAGTTGAATTTTTTTAATTTTTATTTATTTATTTTTAGAGAGGGGGAAGGGATGGAGAAAGAGGGGAAGAAAAGCATTGCTGTGACAGAGAAGCATCAATCAGTTGCCTCTTATCACACCCCCAGTAGGGACCAAACCTGTAGCCCAGGCATGTGCCCTGACGGGGAATCAAACCGGCAAACTTTTGCTTTGTGGGACAACACCCAAACAACTGAGCCACACCAGTCAGAGCTGAGTTGAATATTTTTTAATATACCTTTTGCTTCCCTTTGTAGCTTGATGAATTTTGGAACTTGGATTATGACTATTCTTTTTTTCTTTGAAGATTTTATTTAGTTATTTTTAGAGAGAGGGGAAGGGAAGGAGAAAGACAGGAGCAAAACATCAGTGTGCGAGAGATACATTGATTGGTTGCCTCTTGCACGCCCCCAGCTGGTGACCTGGCTCACAACCCAGGCGTGTGCTCTGACTGGGATTTGAACCAGCAACCCTTTGGTTCACAGGCAGACACTCAGTCCACTGAGGCATACCAGCCAGGGCGAATTATTACTATTCTTAATAACAAGAATTCCCTTTTTAATATAAAAAACCCCACAAAATTAAAATAGAGACTTTGCTCCTAATTTTATCCTAAATTATTTATAATATTTTCTTGTTTTCTTTATATGTATATTTTGATGTGGTGAGGTAGTCATCTCAGTATAAATTTTTTTAAAGATTTTATTTATTTTTAGATAGGAAGGGAAGGAGAGAAACATCACTGTGGTTTCCTCTCGCACATCCCTTACTGGGGACCTGGCCTGCAACCCAGGCATGTGCCCTGACTGGGAATCAAACTGGCGACCCTTTTCTTTGTAGTCCAGCATTCAGTCCACTGAGCCACACTAGCCAGAGCTCAGTGTAAAAATTTTTAACCTGCTTTTTTTTTACTTAATATTATGTCTTAGCTACTTTTCATTGTTGCTGTATCATTTTCATAAATATCATCTTTGTGGATTTATAAAAGGGTAGGGCTTTGTTAAATGGAATCACATATATTCGTGAACGTCTGTAGACAAGGTCCCTTGCCAGCCACTAGGATATAAATGTGAATAAATCATTATTTGTTCTCATAGAATTTGAGGTTAAATTGGTAGACAGATGCAAATAAATAAGCAAAACAAAGAAAAAACATAGGAAAAATTTCATAAAAAGCAAAGGTTCCATACAAATTGTGCACCTTGAAGGAAGAGTAAATGTTTGTCTGAGTACACAGAACAGAATGGTATGTTAGGGGAAGTATACATAATTCGTATTTCAGGGGATTGTGTCATAGACCTATTCTCAGTGACAATGAATAGTTTATAAGACATATTATTAAGTACAAAAAGTAGGTTAAAACACATGTGATATGGTTCCATTTATGTGAAAAAAACATATTGATGTACATGCATCAAAAGTTATGACAGGACATATGTGAAAATGGTAACAGTGGTTGCTTCTGGGGAAGGGAATGGGTATAGAGATAAAGATATTAGGGAAGAATCTGTATAGCCTGCATCTTTTAGGTGATTGTTTTCAATTATTATGTGTATTATTGAGTATTCTAATGAAGTAATAATGAATACATAAATAAACCTTGCTACAATGGAATCACGTAGATATTCTCTCAGTCTGCAATCCTTCTCAGTCAGCCCCATCTCCACAGAAGTAAACAGCATTTTTACTAATATTGCTATAGATTAGTTTTGCTTCTACTTGAACTTTATATGTACTGTTTTGTGTCTGTCTTTCACTCAGAATGTCTTTGAGATTTATCCATATTGTTTCATATATCAGCACTTTGCTCTTTTTTATTACTATATAGTATTCCATTGTATGAATATACCACGATTTATCTATTCTTCTGTTGATATGCATTTCAGTTATTTCCAGTTTAGGGCTCTTATGAATAAAGCTTCTGTTAGCAGCCTTGTTCCTATCTTTTGGCGGACAAATGTGCTCACTTCTTTTGAGTGAATTACTAAGGAGTAGGTTACTGTGCCATGTGGTAAATATATTTTTAATTTTATAAGAAACTGCCAAACTGTTTTCCAAACTGTACCCATATATATCTACCAGCAATTTACTGGAGTTCCAGTTACTCCATATCCTTATCAGTGCTTGATATTTAGAATCTTTAATTTTAGCCATTCTGTGACTGCATAGTGATGCCACATTGTGGTTTTGTATATGTTTAAGTGGTGTTGGTTTGAATGTTCATACCTTTTGAACCAGTAATTTCACTTTTACAACATTTTCCTAAGGACTTACTCGGAAATCCAGAAAATCTTATATGATTTGTTCTTTGCTGCATAACTTATCAAAGCCAAATGTAAGAAATAGCCTAAATTTTAGATACTAGAGAAGTAGCTACATAACTTATGATATATTTATAATGATAAAATATGTAGCCATTGAAAATTATAACATGATAAAAGCAGGGTACAACATTATAATAGAGTAAGGTATTTTTTTAAATATTTATTTATTTATTTATGTTTAGAGGGGAAGGAGAGAGGGAGAGAAACATCAATGTATGGTTGCCTCTAGTGCGTCCCCTGCTGGGAACTGGCCTGCAGGGAACTGGCTTGCAACCCAGGCATGTGCCCTGACTGGGAATTGAACCACGGTCCTCTCATTCGCAGACCTGCGCTCAATCCACTGAGCTACACCAGCCAGGGCTCTTAGAGTAAGGTATTAACTATAGAAAAATATGTGTATTAAAATAGTTCAGCCATATAGTTCAACCAAAAAAGTTTATTTTAAAAACTATTGGAAGGAGGAAACACATCAAAATAACTTTGGGTGGTGGTACTAGGTAACTTTCCCCCTATCCTTACGTATTTTTCTAATGATCATATTTTTAAACTTAATTAAAAGAATTTTCCAGATTTTATGTTCTATAATGCTTTTTCTTTATCTAATCTTTCCCGCAACATGAAAAATTACTCTCTTGGGTTTCTTTAAATATTTGATTTCTGCTACTGTTTTGACTCTCAAATTATAAATGCATGAAAAAGATACTCTCGTGTTGTTTCTTCTTCTGAACATCTCATGTTGCAACATCCAGTCCAGGACGGAAGATAAAATAGAGCGATTCAAGAAAGCAGTTGAGTACTATTCAGTCACAACCAAACTCCCTTCGCTGCCAGTGGGTTCCTCCTCCTTTCTAGGTAAGGCTTCCATCTGACCCAGAGCTGCTCTGTCCACAGAGACTGAGGTAGTCCCTCAGAAACTCCTGGACCAGAGTAGAATCACCTGCTTGTATTGCAACCTCCTAGAAGTCATTTCTGTTTGATAGACATTCTCCTTTTGATTTCTGTGTAATAAGTGAGGTTACATAAGACAGGGCCCCGATTTCTCAAAATTTTAGGTGGGGTCTCATGCCATTTCCTTAGCTTCGGCTTCTTCTGGTGCTAACCTCCACTGTGGCCTAGTATATGTAAAATAGAGCTATCTGTGGTGTCAGGCCTGAGTTTTGATTCCACCTGTGCTGTTTGCTATCTGTGTGATCTTGACAAGTCACATTTGTATGAAAGGTGGTTCATGATATACCTATTTATAGGGTTGTTATCAGATGAAAAAATAATTTATGTAAGATTCCTGGCATGATGCATAATAGCTGTTCAAAAATTGTTATTTATTATTAATAATTTTTCAGGTGACATGGGGTTAGCAGAATGTAACATGCTAGAATAATTAGGATTGACTAAAATGTCGCCTTTTCTCTTGGCTTCAGATTTTCATAATAATCGGATTGCAAATCCTCCTCATCCACGAAGTCAAATGTGCGCTATTTCTGCTGGGAAGCCAATGGTAAGTATCTTTCATGAGACCTGAGGCCATTTGTTAGCATTAGACACAGGTGCTTCCAGATTTTTGTAATCTGAGTTAAGGAATTAGGGTGGTTCGGTATATCAGAATGCCAAGGCTATATACACCTATGTCACACTCTCAACTTGAGTCTAGCAAACTATGTAAACAAAACATCTGAATCAGTAACCACTAAGGTGTTATGAAGGTACATTACCTAATTTTGGAGAGTGGTTCTAGAAGACCTGGATTGGTCCATTGTCCTGCCTCTGGAGAATTCTGTCCACATGTCACTGTTAGAATTTTTTGTTATTCCCAATAGGTTCTTTGTATCCCAGTAATCCATGCTACTGGCATCATCCACTGTCACAGCTTTTGAGGGAACTATCTTGGAGCCTGGTAAAATATTAAAAAGCTTTTCTGTCTGTTTTATTCTTTAGTTTGCTCACCATGTGCCCCAGAAAATGAAATATCCACCACCATTCCCACTGGGACCCAACTCCTCCCTTCTCTTCTCCCCTCATGCTTTGGGGGAGCCCCATGGTTTTTCTGAGGATCCCATGCTGCAAGACAGCCCCTTTGCCAATTGGGCTGTGTCTTATGACTCCTCATCACAGTTTCCCAATTACCTGACTTCCAAAGCCTCACCTCCTCTGGGACCAGACTCTTCTCACTCTTCTTCCTCTGATGGTGATGAGCCAAATGGAGTCAGTTCTGAGTAAGTACCTGTGCAGGCACCAAAGGGCACAGACTTCAGAAGCATCTGTATTCTTTTACTGATAACCTAGGCAAGGGTGTGGGGAAGTTATAGGTTCCTGGCTTTTCTCTGTGGCTCTTTGCTCTTAAGCAAAGTAAGAAAACTCTCTCTACTTGGTCACTTCATGCTCATTTTGACCCTGAACAGGTGGTCATTTTTGGATACCCAGGCCATGGAGGTAAAAGGCAGCATAGCAGCTGGTTAGGGAAGCCCTGGTGTGGGTGTGCTATGTGTCATAGCTATCATTTCTCTATTTTTGAGGGGAGTAGATTGAATGTAAAAAAAGGAAAAGAATTTAAAGAGTATTGGAACAGTTGAGTAGGCAGTTATATTCTTAGTAACTAAGACAGGGTTCTGAGGATTAACGTAGTGGGATTTTGTACTAGCTCATTTGTTCTTAGATTATTTTTCTAAAAAGATAATTCCTGGGAAACAGGGATACTTTGAAGTTTCAACTGTAACTATTTTCTTAGAACATGAGCAGACTCTAAACATGGTCTCTTACATGACGCAAAGGATTCAGAGTGGTTCCCACAACTTTTAATCACTTTGGTTTGTGTCAGATGAAAGAAGCCAGGAGGGTGGTGATGACCACTGAGTGGAAAGACACCAGGTCCATTGCTAACGCTTCATCCTAATTTCCAAAGGGTTTGTAAGAGTGCTCGAGATCAGAACAGACATCTTGAGTTGGAATATCTTTATCAACCTTCTTTCTCTTATCCACATTGTCTTTCTAAATTTTTTAGTCACTTCACAGAAACGTTTCAGCAGCAGCCTAGGTGGGAGGATCCAAATGGTGACAGAAGGTCTTGGGTACAGCCCATTGTTGCTGGAGTTTCAGATGCTACCCTCGGTGATGGTGAACCCCACATCCCATCTCTTCTTTCTATGTCTACAAGGAACCACATGGATGTCACCATTCCGCCCTTACCTCCAGTACCTCCAGAAGTCTTGAGGGTCGCTGAACACAGACACCGAAGAGGTCTTATGTACCCATATATCTACCATGTCCTCACTAAGGTGAGAGCAAGCATCTCATTGCCTCCCTCCTTCCCTGCCCTTGACAGGGTACTTCGCTGTTCCTAGAACTGTAAGTTACCAGAGAAAATTCTGATTATTGCTATCTGAAGGGAGATAAAAGGAGAGTAAGTATACAGGGGCCTCTCATTGTATTAAGGGTCTTAGGTGAGGAGAGACCAGGAGGAAATGGGACTGTGCAGTAAACGAGGCCCCAAGAAGAAGTATAAGTATGAGATTTCAAAGAAGATAATACAGCCCTGGCTGGCATAGCTCAGTGGATTGAGTGCAGGCCTGCGAACCAGAGTATCGAGGTTGGATTCCCAGTCAGGGCACATGCCTGGGTTGCAAGCCAGTTCCCAGCAGGGGATGCATGAGAGGCAACCATACATTGATGTTACTCTCCCAATCTTTCTCCTTCCCTTCCCCTCTCTCGAAAAATAAATAAATAAAATATTTTTTAAAAAAGAAGATAATACACCAACTTGGTGGATTCTGGTCTAGGGGAGGACACAATATAAGAGGCTCTATGCTCTTGTTCTTTGCCTCCTCCTCTGCTTCTCTAGAGCTCCTCCCCCTCCAACAGTCTTTCCATACAAATCCATCCCTCAGCAAATTGTCTAAGATGGACTTCCCCCATTTAGTCAGCTAATCAGTCATAGCAGAGACTTTAGAAATAGGATGTAGCTTTTGAGCTGGCTATGGTCAACTGGGTTTGTTATGGCTTACTTTTAGTCTGAAACATCTAAATACAAGTCGAAATTTTAGTGGCTCGGCTAGAGTTCCTTACTGGTTCTTCTCAGTCTAATTCTAAAACTTGAGGTAACTCATTTTCTCCTTTTTCCTGGATTGCTTTCTTCTTAGGGTGAGATTAAGATCCCTGTTTGTATTGAGGATGAGTGTAACATGGAGCTGCCTCCAGCTGCTCTCCTGTTCCGGTCAGCTCGTCAGTATGTATATGGGGTCCTTTTCAGTCTGGCAGAGACACAGCGGAAAATGGAACGCCTGGCCATACAGCGACAGCTACCTGTGGAAGGTAGGTATAGTTCTGGCATTGAGAGAGCTCTCAAAGTTTGATGCATAGCAAAAATAGCTATGCAAATTTGTTACACTTTCAGCTATAGAGTAGTCTGAGGAAATATATAGCTCGAGGAAATGTATCCTGGTGACATATAAATGTCACCAGGATACTTATTGGTATGGGGAATGAATTAACTTTACCCCCAATTCTTTAACCATCAAACATTTAGAATGACTAATACTTATAGGAACTATGCTGGACATTGGGAGTGTAGAGGTGTATCTGACACAGTCTCTCCTCTTTAGTGAGGCTTTTGTGTTAGACTTGATCCTGTAGATAATTAGAGCCATTGAGATGTTTTTAAGCTAGAGTAACCCTACTTAATTAGTGTGTCAAATTAGTGTGTTCAAAAGAAGCTTTTAAATTTCTGCTTCTGGGAAGAGGGAATACATACTTTTCCCTATTCCTCCTGCCAGATACAACTAAAAGCCCAAGATAGTATATACGAAATAAGCACTAGGCACTCTGGAAGGTGAAGAGAAAAAGGCAGGCTATCTGAGGACCCTGGGTTTACTTTTTCCTCATATATCGCAAACTGGGTGTGGGGCAGGCTGGCATCCCAGAGATGCTGACAGGTGTGGACCGATGAAAACCCAAAGAAAAATCTGCTTTCTCTAGCCAAATAACCTAAAAGGAACAACCTAGCAATGCGTAAAATTTTGAGGTAATAATTACTCTACTTCAGCCAAACACGACAGCAAAACTGGAGCCCACACCTACCCTCACCAGCAAAGGCTTAATGGAGAGCCTAAACTTCTAGTTTTGCCAGGCTATACTAAGATGGGGAGCCAGGACTTTCACTCTCACTTGAAAGTAGGCAGCAACCCCCCTTCAACCATCAGAGTGGTGTCAGAAAAGACCTGATAAAACACAATGTTTAATACCCAAAATGTCCAGGTTCCAATTGAAAAATTCCTCATCATACCACGCACCAGAAAGACTTCAAACTGAGATCTCAAACTGACCAAGGAGAAAAAATTGATTGACACCAACATTGAAATGACACCGATATTTGAATCACCTGACAAGGATTTCAAATCAGCCATCATAAAAATGCTCCGACAGATAATTGTGAGCATGGTTGATACAGATTAAAAATAGAAAGTCTTGGCAAAGAAATATAAGATATAAAAACAAATGGAAATTAAGAACTAAAAATTACAATAACAAATAAAATATTCTATAGATGGGTTAAACAACAGATTGGATGTAACAGAGGAAATAGTCCAGGGACTTGGAATCAGAACAATGAAAATTACCCCAATCCGAATAACAGAGAGAAAATAGATTGAAAAAATGAACAAGAACTAGTGGAACTATGGCAAAAGATCTAATAATTGGATTATCAGAGTCCCAGAAGAGGAGAAAGGGGACAGGACTATAAAGGTATTCAAAGAAATAATGACTGAAATATCCCCAAATTTGGCAAAAAAAAAAAAAAAGGCCCAGAGATTTAAGAAGTTCAGTGATTTATAAAAACAATGAAAACCACAAAGAAATCCATGCCAAGATATATTACAGTTAACCCTTTGAAAGCTAAAGACAGAGAAATTATTGAAACTAACCAGAGAGAAACAATGCTTTACCCATTGGGGAAAGTAATACAAGTAACAGCTGATTTCTCATCAGAAGCTGTAGTGTCCAGAAGGAAGTAGCATACCATTTTCAAGGGCTAAACAGAGCTGTCAACTCAGAGCGCTACCATATTTTGCCATGTATAGAATAGAAAATGCTCCCACGTATAATGTGCACCACATTTTAGTGCTGGTTCCCATGTATAACCCACATCCTTATTTTTCCCTCAATCATTTGGGAAAAAACTGTGCATTGTACACAGCAAAATGCTGTATGTCAAACAAAAATACCCTTCAGGAATAAAGGGGATATCAAAACATTATCAAGTAAAGGAAAACTAGGATGTTTTTTCACAGCAGACTGCCCTAAATGAATGACTAGATGTAGTTTTCCACACAGAAAGGAAAGGATAAAAGAAGGAATCTTGGGACATAAACAAGAAAGAAAAAACAATGGAAAGACAAAAATATGGATAAATCTAATAGACTTTCCTTCTTGAGTTTTCTAAATTATGTTTTATAGTTGAAGCAAAAACTAGAACACTGTTTAATGTGGTTTAATTTTGGCTGTAGACAAAATGTTTAAGTCAGTTACATATGGAGGCCAGTGAAGGGATGTGATAGAGGTCAGGTTTCTACACTTCGCTTGAACTAGTAAAATGTCAACGCCAGTAGACTGTGATAAACTATGTATATGCAGTGCACTACTAATAAAATGCACTGAAAAGGTTATGCAAAGAAATATACTCAGAAGCACTATAGATAAACCAAAATGGAATTCTAAAATAAGTACAAGTAATGCATAGGAAGGGAGGGATAAGAAGGTAGAGATACGCAAAACAGAACAAATTTAAAAAATAAAATGACAGACTTATCCCTAACTTATCAATACATACATTAAGTGTAAGAACTCTAACTACATCAATTAAAATACAGAGATAGACACACTGGATAAAAAAACATGACCCAACTATATGCTGTCTACAAAAAAGTCACTTCAAATATAAATGATGTAGATGGGTTGAACGTAAAAGAGCGGAAAATGATATACCGTGAAAACATTAATCAAAAGAAAGCAGGAATGGTTGTATTAATACCATATAAAGTAGACTTAAGAGCAAACAAAATTACCAGGCAAAGGGAGGTACATTACATAATGATAAAAGAGTCAATCTATCAAGAAAACATAAGAATCCTAAATGTGTATCACCAAACAACAGAGGCACATAAAATATGTGATGCAACAGATAAAACTTAAGTGAGAAATAGACAGATTCACAATTATAATTAGAAACTTCAATTCCCCTCTCAATAACAGGTAGAACAACTAGACAGAAAACCAGCAAGAATATGGAACTCAACAACACCATCAATAAATAGGATATAATTGACTCTTATAGAACACTCAACCAAGAGCACAGTACATGTTCTTTTCAAAATGCCCATAATATGTATGCCATGATAGAGCATATCCTTGGCCATAAAACAAATCTCAGTAAATTTAAAACAATTGAAACCATACAGGATATATTCTCAGACCACTATGAAATCAAACTAGAAATCAACAGAAAGATAACAGGAAAATCTATAAATACTTGTCAAGTAACAAAGCACTTCTATATATAATCTGAAGGAAAAGAAAGAAATACATGGAACTAAATGAAAATAGAAATCCAGCATATTAGAAGTTGTGAGGTAGAGATAAATAATTGCTGAGAGGGAAATTTGAAAGACTAAATGTTCACATTAGAAAAGAGGGAAATGCTCTTATCAGTCATTTAAACTTTCTCCTTAAGAAACAAGAAGAGGAGGAGAAAACAAAACCTGCAGCAAACCAAAAGAAGGAAATAGTAAAGATAAGGGCAGAAATCAATGCAATTGATACAGCAAAACAAAACAAAAAAATTAACAGAAACTTGGTTCCTTGAAAAGGAGAATAAAATTGACAAACTTCTAGCAAGACTATAAAGAATAATAAAAGAAAATAAAAATAAAGAAGACACAAATTGCTAATATCAAGATAGGGGCTATCACCACAAAGCCTGAAGATACCAAGTTTCATATGGGAATACTGTAAACAACTCTGATACATAAATTTGGCAATTTAGATACAGTGGACCAATTTCTCAAAATATATAAACTAACACACCTCACCTAATATAAAATAGGTAATTTCAATAGCCCTATAAATATGAATGAAATTTAATTTGAACTTCCCAGAAATGAAATCTTACTCAACTGGTTTCACTAGAGAATTCTCCTAAATGTTTAACAAAGTATTAACATCAATTCTACACATTCTTTTTTCAGAAACTAGGAGAGAATACTTCCCAACTTATTCTAAGGAGCCTGTATTTCCCTGATACTAAAACCATATCAAGACAGTACATTAAAACAACACTTTCGACTGATCAATATGGATGTAAAAAATCTGAACAAAATATGAGTCAATAGAATTCGGCAATTTATTAAAAGAATGGCCAGGTAGGGTTTATTCCATGGTTACAAGTCTGGTTCAATATTTGAAAAATCAATCAGTGTAATCTACCATATAAACAGGCTAAAGAATAAAATAATATCATCTCAATGGATTCAGAAAAATATTTGACAAAATTTGACAACTATTCGTGATAAAACTGAAAACTAGGAATAGAGGGGAATTTCTTCAACTTGATAGAGAACATCTACAAAACCCTATAGCTAACATTATACTTAATGGTGAAAGACTGAATATTTTTTCCCAAAATGAAGAACAAGAAAAAGGTGTCCACCCTTACCACTGCTCTTCAACATAGCACTGCAAATTCTAGCCAGGGTAGGAAGGCAAGAAAATGAAGTAGAAGGCATACAGATCAGAAAAAAAAGAAATGAAACTGTCCCTAGTTGCAGATGACAATATGGTCTATGCAGAAAATTCACAAGGAATCTGCAACAAAACTTCTAGAATTGATATGTGAGTTGATCGAGGTTGTAAAATAGAAAATAAACATAGAGAAATTCATTGTATTTCTGTATTATAAAATGAATATGTGTAACTGACACAAAAAAATGCAATACCAGCCCTGGTTGGTATGGCTTAGTGGATTAAGCACCGGCCTGTGAACCAGAAGGTTGCAGGTTCAATTCCCACTCAAGGAACATGCCTAGGTTGCAGGCCGGGTCCCCAGTTGGAGGTGTGCAAGAGCCAACTAATCAGTGTTTCCCTCCCTTCCACTCTCTCTAAAAATAAATAAATAAATCTTTAAAAAATGCAATACCGTTTACAATTCCTCCAACAAAAATGAAATCAATCCTCAGGCATATATTTAACAAAAAAGGTTCAGTATCTGTATGCTGAGAATCACAAAATGCTGGTGAGACAAACCAATGGAAAGAGATAGATGCCCATGAATTGGAAGACTCAACATAGTAAAGATGTCAGTTCTTCCCAAATTAATATACAGGTTTAACACAATTCCTATCCAGATCCCAATGGAATTCTTTGTAGATACAGACAAGAATATTCTAATATTTATATGGAATGACAAAGGATCTAGAATAGCTAAATGTTTATGAAAGGGAATAATAATTTGGGAGCAATCATTCTACCTGATTATGACTTACTGTGTAGCTACAATAATTAGGACTGGATGGGAGGGACAGGGTACGTGCTGGACAAAAAGCCAAAAAGGAAAGCAAGGCCAGGGCTGTGGGTGTTTTTTCTGCCTGCAGTGTTTGATTCATTCTTAAGGAACTGAGAGCTTAATCTTCCAAAATGTCAAAAAGACCATGTTATTCCCCACCTCCCATCCCAACTCTTACAGCACAAATGCCTAGTACACCAGGGTTTGTGGGATATGTGCATACAGCCATCTTGCCTGCAACAGCTGCAGTCTGGGAGGAAACCTGAGCACCAAAAGCTGGCTCACAGCATCCTCTGATATTACGATTGCAAAAGCCCCAAAGCCACCAGATAAGCAGAGAGGTCTGGGACCAAGTAAAGGCCTCCAAGCCTGACCTAAAGTTATGAGAGATTAGCAACATTATTGGTGGCATATGGCAAGATTTTCTTCATTAGTGAATGAAAAAAAAACAAGAATATTTCAATGAATTTGAAGCAGAAAAAGTTAGAGTACAATGAATTTATGAAGGCCTACCATAATTCTTCCATATACCTTGCAAATATAAATGCAAAATGTCATGCAGAAGCTGCTTTAGAAGAAGAAAGTCAACAGGCTGTCTCACATGGAGAAAGGGGAACCTTACATGAACATCTAGCCTGCTGAAGGTCCACATGATTATAATGATGGATTTTCAGTGAAGTATATAGCCATTATCTGTTTCCAGAGAAACCACTACCTCATCAATGAAATTCTTAGAGAGAGTATGTTGCCAAACATTCAGTCAATGTTATAACACCCAGAATGCAAGTTCTCAAGCAGCAGGTCTAGTCCTCAGTGTTGTCAGCAAAACTAGAAGCTGAACTTGTTCAGTTAGAGGAGCAATCCCAGGGAAAGAAGAGGAAATTCCTGAGAAGCATAGATTCATTTAACAATGAACTTAAAAGTTTGTGTGGTTTGAAAGTAGAAGTGGATATGGAAAAACTTGCAGCTGAATGGGACAGGCTTACAAAAGGTGGGAAGAAATGGAAGAAGCCAGCAAAGCAAGCTGAATGCAGTCAGAGCAGTATTGTTCCTGAGGAAGAGTGAGCTGCTTGTAAGATTTTAAAAAAAGACAATAGCATTCCAGTGGAGACAGAGGAGGCACACCTTGAAAAAACAATGGAAAGCAAACAGAATGGTGAAAAAGGCACATCTACTCTTGAGGACAAGGAGAGCAGGCAAGAGAGAATGGAAGAGAGTATGGCAGAGGAAGGGACCAGTGATAGTTATCCCGGCTCAGAGTGGAAGAATGGAGGAGAGATTGACAGATTCCATACCAGAAGATGAGAAAAAAAGAATAAATGTTGCCTTGATTTATGTGTTCTAAATACTTTTTTAAATGAAAAAATGTTTTTGAGTTGAAAAAAAGATGTACTGGCAGTGATATAGATACATAGACAAATGGAACAGAATAGGAAACCCAGAAATAGCCCCATATAGGTACAGCCAACTGATTTTTGACTACAGAAGCACTTTATTGGAGGACATACAGTCTTTTTAACAAATGGTACTGGATCCATTGAACATCTATAGATGAACAAGTACCACATATCTCAGAGGTCCCCAGGCCATGGACCTGTACCAGTTGTGGCCTGTTACGAACTGGACACACAGCAGGAAGTGAGCGGTGGGCAAGGAGTGAAGCTTTGCCCACATTACCGTGTGAGTTCTCCCTCCTGTCTTCAGTGCCCCTCCCACTCCCCATCTGTGGAAAAATTGTTTTTCACGAAAATGGTCCCTGGTACTGAAAAGGTTGGGTACTGCTGATCTAGATTAGTATCAGAAATATATAAAGAACTCTCAAAACTGCACATTATAAAAACAATCTAGTTAGAAAATCAGCAAGACATGCACTGACATTTCACTGAAGGGGATATGCATATGACAAGTAAAATATGAAAATATGTTCATTGTTAGTCATTAGAAAATGCAAATTAAAACAACAATGAGGTATTACTGCATACCTATCAGAATGGCTAAACTGAAAAATGGTGGTTGTTCCACATACAGGATTGGATGTGAACAAACTGATCATTTGTAAATTGCTGGTCTGAATGTAAAATGCCGCCACCACTTTGAAAAGTAACTTGGTAGTTCCTTTCAAAACTAAAAGTGGACTTACCATACAACCCAGCACTTATGCTTTTGGGTATTTATCCCAGAGAAATGAAAACTTAGTTTTATTCAGAAACTTGTATACAAAGTACAACAACAACTTTATTCATAATAGCCCCAACTGGAAACAACCCAGATATCCTTCAAAAGGTGAATGGTTAAACTTTGGTACATCCATACCATGAAATACTATTTGGCAAAAAAGGAATGAACTATTGATAAGGTAAAAAAACATGGATAGATCTCAAGGGCGTTATGCTGAGTGAAAATGCCAACCTCAAAAGATAGAATACTGTATGATTTCATTTATAAAACATTCTCAAATTGACAAAATGATAGAGTCGGAGAACAGATTAGCGATTGCTGGGGACTGGGTATGGTGCTGGAGGGCACCAGCTATAACCATGAAAGGGGTAGTATAGGGGGGGATCTTTTTGGTGGTGAAATAGCTCTGCATCTTGATTGTGGTGGTTATACAAATCTACACAGAACTATATATCCAATTATACCAGTGTCAACTTCCTAGCTTTGATATTTTACTAGAATTATTGTAGAAATAAGTATTGAGGAAAACTGAGTAAGGAGTACACAGGACCTCTCTATACTGTCTTTGTGACTCCCTGTGAATCTATAATTTTTTTTAATTAGAATTTTTTTTAAAGAGCATTTTAGAGGGTTGTGAGGGGGGCCAGGCAGGATTAAGTTAAAGCAGGGACAAGAGTCTAGAGACTTACCAGGTGGAAGATGATGAGATGTGAATCTCTACAATATTCATCATGATAAAGGAAAGGGAATAGATATAATAAATTATAAGGTAATAGAGTCAACAGAAATTTTGGAATAACTGGATGTGTAGGAGATGAAGGAGAGCAAGGACTCCAGGATGACTTAGGTTTCTAGCTTGTATAACTGAGTAAATGCTAGATGTGTTAAGTAAAAGAGGCCACAGCTTAGAGGCCATAGGAACTTGCAGTGAACTAGATGTACACGGAAGCCATGTTTTCCTTTTCTCTTACACCTGAGATTGACTTTTTGAAAATTTTGTGAAATTCTTTTAAATTATTTTGGGGTGTTCTATAGTCCAAAGCCAGGTAGTCACATAATTCTTCCTGGGTTTCTTCCCTGGATTAGGCTAGTACATCTACTTAAGAAATGAGTTTCATAGTCATTAAGAACTGTGTGTCATTGAGCATTCATTTCTTCATCCGCAAAATAAGCACTATGTTTTGTGATGATATAGTCATAATACTTCTCTCTGGGGATTGCTCTGAGGAGTAAATGAGATTTGATTTACGTTTATATACAAAGTACCTAACACATATCAAGCATATAATAAATGCTTACTACTTCTACTAATAATAAAAATTGTGGCAATAAAAAGATACTGAAGTGTGATGGATCCTGTCCATTGTTGCCAGCTGTAGAAATGCTCAGAGATTCACTAGAGCCTGGTTTTCCTCAATGTGTTTTCCAGTTCCTTCAGTGATCCTTAAAGAATGGTCTGCCTATAAAGGGAAGTCACCTCAAACACCTGAGCTGGTGCCTGCGCTGACATTTCGGGAATGGACTTGCCCAAACCTCAAGAAGCTTTGGTTAGGCAAAGCAGTTGAGGACAAGAACAGAAGGATGAGGGCCTTCCTGGCCTGTATGAAGTCAGATACACCCAGTATGCTCAATCCAGCCAATGTCCCCACCCATCTGCTGCTCATGTGCTGTGTACTCCGGTAAGCCATGTGACAGGTGCCAGTTCGTGTCTCTTATTTTTTGGACATTTCCTTTAATCAAGTGTTTTTATACTTTCTGGGGTGGGAAGATTTCTGTTTTATATTGAGCTTAGACTTCAGAAACGCTGGAATTGATTGCTATGATACTCTCCTCAGTTCATGGTCTTTGTACTATCAGTCTATGTATGACCTCTCTTTTATATTTGGTTTCTGTTCCTTTTAGTCTTTATTCCTGATCCAGCTCCCTTTTCCTCTCCACCCATAGTTATGCACTCTGGGGTATTTGATGTATATCTTTCCAAGCCATCTTCCAATTATTTATTTAGACACTATCCATGCACAGTCTATAGTATCATTTCTATGTATAGATGGTATCCTTTTCCACATGAAAGATATTGTGCTCAATATCTCATTTTACTTTTTTCACTTAGTGTTATTTTTGAGATCTATCCATATTCATGTATGGTTCATTTCTCTAGACTGACAGATTATGTTCCATCAGATACTGATATCAGTACAGTTGAGCCTTGAACAACATGAGTTTGAATTGTGCAAGTCTACTTATATGCTGATTTTTTGTCAATAAATATTATAAATATATTTTTTCTTTATGATTTTCGTTTTAAGTATATTTTGTTGATTATACTCTTATAGTTTTCCCAATTTTTTCTTTTTAATATATTTTATTGACTATGCTATTACGTTATGCCCATTTTCCCCCCTTCATTCCCCTCCACCCTGCACACCCCTCCCCCACCATTCCCCCCCTTTAGTTCATGTCCATGTGTCACAAGTTCTTTACATTCTATATTTCCCCTACTATTCTTACCCTCCCCCCTACCTATTTTCTATCTACTGTCTATGCTACTTATTTTCTGTACCTTCTCCCCCCTTCTCCTCCTCCCACTCCCCTGTTGCTAACCCTCCATGTGATCTGCATTTCTATGGTTCCACTCCTGCTCTAGCTGTCCTCTTAGTTTGCTTTTGTTTTAGGTGTGGTTGTTAATAACTGTGAGTTTGCTGTCCTTTCACTGTTCCTATTTTTTATCTTCTTTTTTTTAGGTAAGTCCCATTAACATTTCATATACAAGGGCTTGGTGATGATGAACTCCTTGAATTTGATCTTATCTAAGAAGCACTTTATCTGCCCTTCTATTCTAAATGAAAGCTTTGCTGTATAGAGCAATCTTGGATGTAGGTCCTTGCCTTTCATGACTTGGAATACTTCTTTCCAGCCCCTTCTTGCCTTCAAGGTCTCTTTTGAGAAATCAGCTGACAGTCTTATGGGAAGTCCTTTGTAGGTGACTGTTCCCTTAGCTTTTGCTGCTTCTAGGATTCTCTCCTTCTCTTTAATCTTGGCTAATGTAATGATGATGTGCTTTGGTGTGTTCCTTCTTGGGTCCACCTTCTTTGGGACTCTCTGAGCTTCCTGGATTTCCTGTAAGTCTATTTCCTTTGCCAGATGGGGGACGTTCTCCTTTACTATTTGTTCTTTTCCACTTGTTGCTCTTCCTCTTCCCCTTCTGGAACCCCTATAACTTGGATGTTAGAACGTTTAAAGATGTCCTGGAGGTTCCTAAGCCTCTCCTCATTTTTTTGAATACTTGTTTCTTCATTCTTTTATGTTTGGTCATTTTTTTCTTCCTTCTGGTCCACTCCCTTGATATGAGTCCCAGTTTCCTTTCCCATCACTATTGGTTCCCTGTGCATTTTGCTTCATTTCACTTAGTGTAGCCTTCATTTTTTCATTTAGTTTGCAACTAAAATCAACCAGTTCTGTGAGCATCCTGATCACCAGTGTTTTGAACTGTGCATCTGATAGGTTGGCTATCTCTTGGTCACTTAGAAGTACTGGCTCTGGGACTTCGAGCTGTTCTTCTTAAGTCATAATGTTTTGGTCTGTTTGCATCTGTAATGTATGAGGGGTGGAGCCTTAGGTGTTCACCAGGGCAGGGCAACCCAGTTGCTGGGTTGTGACTCTGTATGTGGGGGGCGAGGTCAGAGAGGAACAATGGTGTTTGTTCCACTCTCTCTCGGACTTCGGTCCCCTCTGCTGCCTCCCGCAAGCAAACCGGGACCCCTGGTGCTGGGTCCTGGGTATGTGGGCCTGTGGGCCTGTGCACCCTCCAGGACCCTGTGGGTCTCTCCAACAAACTCTCTGTGAGCCTGGGAGCTTCTTCTGGCACCTCAACCCTGAAAGTTTTTCCAATTGTTGCTTTTAGGCTTTAATTTCCATCGCTGGGGCCCTAGCTTGTGAGGTCTGTCTCACTGCTCGCTTTTTTGCCTGGTTTATCTGCACATGCACAAATGTATGACCGTGGTCAGCCACCCGCCCCGGGCTCTCACTGGGTCTGCCTGTTGACACCCCATGCCCGTGATCTGCCAACCACCTCCTGTGCTCCCGGGTTGGTCCAGACACTTCTCCCTGCCCAATCCCCTCTGACAGCTGCTGACTCTGCCCCTCTTACCGGTCTGGCTGAATGGTTTGTTGTTTTCGGACTTCAGTACTGTTCAATTTTCCATGTTTTGGTTGAGTTTTTGTTACTATAACTTTGTTGTCTTTAAACTTGGTTATGCGAGGAGGCACAGTGTTTCCACCTATGCCTCCATCTTGGCTGGAAGTCTCGTTTTCCCATTTTTTTTAATCTCCTCTGTCCCACCTCCACCCTGCACCCTGGAAGCCTACAGCATTCCCTCACCCCTCAGTTGATGTCGAAGGATCATACATATAAGTTTTTTCACTTCTGTTTCCTATACCATTCTTAACTTCTCCCTGTCTATTTTATGCCTACCAATTATGCTTCTTATTCCCTGTACCCTTCTCCCACATTCTTCCCTTCTCTCTCCCCACTGATAACCTTCCATGTGATGTCCATTTCTGTGATTCTGGTCCTGTTCTAGTTGTTTGTTTAGTTTGTTTTGTTTTTAGGTTCAGTTTTTGATAGTTGTGAGTTTGTTGTCATTTACTATTCATACTTTTGATCATCATCTTCTTAGATAAGTAAGTCCCTTTAACATTTCATAGCATAAGGGCTTGGTGATGATGAACTCCTTTAACTTGACCTTATCTGGGAAGTCCTTTATCTCCCCTCCCATTCTAAATGAAAGCTTTGCTGCATAGACTCATCTTAGATGCAGGTCCTTGCCTTTCATGACTTCCAATACTTCTTTCCAGCTCCATTTGCCTACAAGGTTTCTTTTGAGAAATCACCTGCTAGTCTTATGGGAACTCCTTTGTAGGTAACTGTCTTCTCTCTTGCTGCTTTTAAGATTCTGTCCTTCTCTTTAATCTTGGGTAATGTAGTTATAATGCCCCTTGGTGTGTGCTTCCTTGGAGAACCCAAGTATTCTTTACATGAGACCCCTGTTTTAGAGCTTCTTTCCTGAGTATAAGCTGGGTCGGTGATTCTCTTTACCATGGCTACTGGATGTAGAGCTGGGGTTAATGAGAAATGTCAGTATTCCCTTCCCTGTATGAAACTATAACCCAAGAATGGGAGCTGGGAGGAGAAGGAGCCTGTCTTCCTTGGCTATATATGCCTGAGGGTTAACTGATTAAAAAATACTTCACTTAGTATTTCTTATAAGGACCAGCTTCATAGCTCAGTGTTCTCTAACCCTCTGGTGATTTTTAGGGACTGACTTCTTCTTTGCACAAAAACATATTTTCTCTCTATCAGCAAATAAATAATGAGAAAATAGAATACCATCCATAATTGCAGTAATATATATCAACTATCTAGGAATTAATTTAAAATACAGCAGACCTCTATGGAAAAAAAATAACTCTACTAAGAGAGAAAGTAACAGACCTGAATAAAGAGAGAGGTAAACTATGATCTTTGGATGAGAAGCCTTAACATTATAAAGATATTAACACTCCAAAGTAATCTATAAATTCAGTTCATTGAAAACAGCCCAAAAGATTTTTGTGGAAAGTAGACTAATTCTAAATTACATTTGGGGGCGGGGGAGGCTGGGATGGGAAAAATAGACAAAATACTGTACTTGAAAAATAACTAAATAAAATTAATTAAATTACATTTGGAACAATAATGGTTCATGTGGTTCAGGAATAGCTGCAAGTTTGAAAGATTAAAAGCAAAGAGTGGAGATTTCTCTTACCTGCTATTAAGGCAAACTGTAAATCCTTATTAATGGAAACTGTGATCCTGGGGAGGGATCAAATAGGCAATGGAACAAAATAGGATCCATGAAAACACTCACGTACATACAGGAACTTGGTCTATAGCAATCAATGGGGAAAGAAGAGATCACATAATGAATGGAGTTGGGAAAAATGGCTTATTTTGTAGAGAAAATAAAATTAGGTTTTTTCTTACAGCATATACAGAATAAATAAACATTGTATTTAATGACCTGACATGGAAGGCAATATTATAAAACCATGCAAAAATGTAAATTTGTATGACCCAGAGGTACAGAAGAATTTATTGAATAAAATCCCAAAAGTATACATGATAAAGGTACAATTTGATGGCTTTGACAAACCACAATTAAATACTTTTCAGTTAGTGGTGAAGTACACTAACATCTGCAATACACTTTTAAATATACAATATACTTAGAAAAAATAGCGATAAGTATCTTGATGGTAAGCAATTAAAAGGAGGCCAGTTAGCACCATGATACAAGAGAAATGGCAGAGCATCCAGAAGTCTTATATAGAGAGCAAAGCAAAGAAACAGTCAAGAGCCCACCCCCCTGCAATAACAGTCAGCTCTGGATGGGGGGTGATGAAGGGTGTGTGCATGTACTACATGGTACCCACTCAGGAGCAACCAGGACAAGACTTGGGGCAGATTTCAAAGCATTCTGTAAACTACACAAAGACCCATCAACAGAGAGCAGATACCTCACTGGCACAAAAGAGCTGAAAAACCACTGTTTACCCAACATTAACTGAAAAATAAGCTTCTTTGACCTAGAGGCAATTCCTAGGAATCCAGGCTTAAAAGTAAAATAAAACTTATCACTGC